CCACCATGGCACTCAGGAGCCACTGTGGCATGGAACCGCCCCCACACCCCCTAGTCCCCCTCCCCCCTTACCTTCACGACGATGCCTGAGGGGATGTGCTTCAGCACCACGCAGTTGCTGGTTTTGTTGGTCGCTTGGCCCCCTGGACCGTGCCCTTTCACAAACTGCTCCTCCAGCTCACTCTCCTCCAGGGAGAGCAGGGCAGGGCCGTCCTTCTTGCCTGCCATCTGGACCGCCGTGACAGCTGTTCCTGGGGACAGCAACCTCAGCTGCTCCCAAAGCCGGAGTGCCCCTGGCGCTGTGCACATCCCAGCCAGGGGCGCAGGCCATCGGAACCAACTGGACGTGCCCATCGGGGTGGCTCTGCGGGCTCGGCCTGGAGCAGACAGGTGGGGCGGGTGTCAGTACGGCACGCTTGCTCTCAGCTATGTATGAAACAATTTGACCGATACCGAGGGGACTTGGGGAGCCAGGGCAGCTTTGTCAGCAGGACACCCCTTCCCAGCCTCGCACTGCTGGCTGCAATTTCACCAGCACGTGCCCTGCGCCAGTAAGTATTTTTTTGTCACAAACGAAAAACACCTTCCAAGGCTCTCAGTGCTGTAGGGGAAGTTGCAGTTCATCTAGAAATACTGCGTAGTACACCGAGCAGGAATTAAGCTCCGAGTCAAGGGACTGTATTTAAATGTTTGGGCATCTTTGAAATCCAAACGTAAGGACGTCGGTCTGCGAGTCTATTCTATAGCTCGGCTTAAACAGTCTGACACAGTAAACATCACCATCAATCAGTGTCATGATTGTTGTTTTTTAATGTTTCCAGTTTCGTGGATTTGAATGGGAACATCTGTTCCCTCGGACGCACTGCCAATAATGCGGTCCAACTGGTACGCGTGCTTAGAACTACCAAGCCGCTCTTTTCATTAAGGGGCCCAGTAAGTCCAAAACACCTAGCAAGCTACACTGAGGGTATGAGATGCCAAAGAGCTGACTGTCCAGGGAGCTGGCGGGCTAGGTAGAGAAGATATTCAGGGCCTTAACAAAAGATCTGAATGACTACCGGAGGCCCAGAGTCAGGTCGAGGCAACTTCGTGGACAAACAAGAATAGCGTTGAGGAGATGGAGGCTCTCAGAGACCTCTGCTGTTCTGAGGGGCAAAGGCAGAAGATCAGAAAGGTTTATGAGGGACTGGTCCTGTAGCCTAGTGGTTAAGGGCCAGCTCCCACATGGCTGACTGGTTCAAGTCCTGACCCTGATGGCTTGGGCACACCTGCATGTGTGCCCAGAACCCCAACAGGAAGGGGCGACGGCAGAGCAGGGATGGTGGTGTGATCACGCCCCACTGCCGGGTGCTTTTCTCCTCCTTTCTCTGAAGAGTGCACGTGCCTCTCACAATTAAAAAATATAAAAATGGGGACCAGCAGTTAGCATAATGGCTATGTCGTTGGACTCCCACATAGTCGACAGTGGTTCGAGTCCCGGACCCAGTGGCTTAAACTCACGCCGGGCATGTGTGCGTGCGTGCCCCAGATCCCGAGAGGAGAATGGAGGAGAAGGGACTGCGGCGTGGCCATCCCCCCCCCCGGGGGGGGGGTGGCCCTC